TGGCTTCCCTGAAGAGATGGACTGTGCCCTAAACTGTGAGCCAAAATCAGCCTTTTATCCCATAAGCTTTCTTTGTCACCTACTTTATCACAGCAACAGAAAAAGAAGCTGAGATACTACGCAGAGTTGCATGTGTGTAGGTTCGGGGCATTCTGGGGAGGTGGACATTTAAAGGCTGCCATCTTGTTTACCCTGAGTGCCTGATCTTAGACTTAACTCTAATCAGGGAAATGTCCCGCTTTGTCCTCGGCACCACAGATACATTTGGATGCAAAGTTCCGACTGGGATAAGATAATGAAATAAAGGAGTCTTTTCCATTGACAAAAGACAGCATTGATGTGTTTAGATAAACATTTATTCTGAGATTCAATATTTATTCTTCGTAGTTAAAGGGCAAAGGATCGATCTGTGTGGCAGAGTCATGTCTTTACCCTTGAACTCTCAGCACGTCCACCAAAGTGCAGACAAGTGGGCTGCAGTGGTCTCCACCCTAGCAACACAGTCTAGGAACTTTGAAATCGCCTGTGCCAGTCAAGATCGAGTCAAGAGTCTAGGTGACTGTTTCTGCAGCTCCAGGAATCTGAGTGTGTTAACCAGGGCTGGTTGGAGAATGCAGTGTTAGATCTGAGCAAGGCAATGACAGAGGACTGCTCAGGGCAAGATTTCCAAGGTTTCCTAATCCTTAGGGGTAATAAAGATCTAGGCTGTGCTGATTAAGCCTTCCTACATGGTCTCAGAAAATGCAGAAGACTTTAAAAAATACTAATGGGGGCCCTGATCCAAAGAACACAACCTTCTGGTCAGAACCAGTTCTCTGTGGAGAAAGAGATGTGTTCAGAATGGGGAGTGCTTTTTTTTAAACACTCAGGACTTGCAAAGGAAGACGTCCATCCAAAGCCAGGATTGTCAGTGCATGCCTTTAATCTCAGCTCTCAGGAGGCAAAGGCAGATTGACCTCTGTGAGTTTGAGGCCAGCCTGGTCTACAGAGAGTTCCATGACAGCCAAGGCTACATGTACCTGTTCCAGGTCTTTTTTGTTTCTTGCAGTACTACACATTGGCCAGGAGAGGGAGACATGCTCCCGAAAAGTGTAACTCCCACAGCTCTCCGGTCTCTAACCAACAGTGAATCAGGTTGTGTCAGGTGCAAAGGTTCCTTGGTTCTCAGACAGAACCACAGACTAAGCAGACAGAATGCCATACTATAGCACGCATTCATCGGCACCGGGGTTGGATCGATCTCCACCCCACAACACTTTGAAACACTTAAACCACAAGAAAATATGTGCCAGGCAGCATCTTTTTCTTTCTTTTCTTTTTTTTCAAAACTGAGGAAAAATTCAAAGCCAAGAGAATAACATTTCTTTCCCCAAGAACCAGCACAACTAGAAAGTGTTGCACTCCAAACATTCAAAATAAGAGTTCTTTCCCTTGTTAATTACAAAGTAAACATCTTATTGATTTTTTTTTTTTAAATTAGGACGGAGGAAGCTGAAAGCCTGGGAAGGAGATGAATGTTTTTCTTTGCCAGAACCATCCAGAACCATCCAGGGTTTCACTCAGAGGAGATGAGCATCCCACGGGAACACAGATCGTGTCTAGCACTAATTTACTTCCCTCCCACAGCTGCACAACAGCCAACACCCTGCAGATGCTGCTCAGGTGACTGAAGCTCAGCACAGTGCAGAGTACATGTTGATAAGGGTTTGTTCCGGGAGCCGCCTTATGCAACTGTACCGGCTGCTCAGGAGGTGATGGTTTAGAAAGGAGTGTTGGAGGATCAATAACCACCTACTAGCTGCCAAAAATTCATTTGCCACCAAACCTGCTGGCCTGGGTTTAATCCCTGGAGCTTGTTAAGTCTGGGCACAGAAAAAGCTAAAGCTTCCCACTGGTCCCCCCCAACCAGGGGACGTCTGCTCAGTCCACGTGGTGAGCAGCTCAGAACATTCCAGTCTTCTGTGTTGTTAGAGGGCTCTCTTCAGCCCAACCGTGAATGAAGCCAAGCTCACCCCAGGGACTCCCAACAGAATTGAAAATTTATCTCAGAGCGGCCTTAACTCTCACCATAATCTCAAAACAAACTCCGGGTTACACAGAAGCAAAGATATTAGTCTTGCCTGAGCTGTCCTCTGCTGCCCTTTCTGTATTTCCACCTTACAATACTGTGACCTCACTGTCAGGGTGAAGCCAAGGTCTGTTCACCTGAAAGTCAGAAGAGCACCAGGCTTTCACCGCCATTTCTGCACAAGCGGACCGAGATATCCTTGGAACCCACATTCCTGGCCAGGAAGAATGGAACCCCTGACTGGTTTATAGGGAACATGGGTCAAGACTGAGAGGCAACGCTCAGCCTGTGTATTTGTTGTAAGGCATCCAGAATGTGACTGCAGATGTTTTTTTTAAGAACCCCAAAGACGTAGGTACACTGGGTTCATTCTCTAGCCCACAAGGAAGGATTAAGAAATAGGTGAAAACTAACATGGTTTTCTTTGTATCGTCCCCAAATCCACATGTTGAAATTCAATCACCAGTGTGACAATATCAAAAGGTCAGGTACTTAGGGAATGATCAAGTCACGGCGGCAGAGGTGCCCTGGATGAGACAGTCACCTTGCAGAATAACTTGAGGGGCAAGTTCCTTCCTTCCTACAGGCCCTTCAGCAGCATGAGGATGGGGAGCAGAGAACACCCTGAACTAGATGGCATCATCTTCCCAGGTTCCAGATCTGTGAGAAAGATAAGTGGTAGTTTGTTTTGTTTTATAAATGATCCAGCCTTGGGAATTTTTTTATATTAAAGAGTAACTTGTCAGCGACTGCACTTCAGTAGAGGTTGGGTCACACATGAGACTCAAAAGGCCACAATGTTTCCTAAGTTGCAGCACATTTTATTGTGTGACAACATAGCGACCTTTGCCTTGGCAGGCTTTAGCTTGCCAAGGACAGGAATGAGGTTTTCCCTGAAGGAGAGAGTCTCCACGGTGTCTCCCATGGCCAACGTCTGCCAGCCTGGTCGGCACTGCACACACTCCTGAGACAGGGGGATAACTAAAACGCATCCAGCATAGTGCAGGTGCTCTGGGGACTGAGGTTTGTATGGGTATCTTCCATTTTGTAAGGTAGCATGCTTGTCTTCAGTGCTTCCTCACCAAAGCTTGAACCCCATTTGGTTTTCCACAAATTTAGATCATAACTTTTCTTAAACTAACTTTGGGGATGACCTTAACTTCTTCTCTAACCGGAATGTTTAACATAAAATTTGCCCAATTGCTCACAAGTGGATTCACAGGCACATTAGCTGGGCCACAGTGCAGCAGTGGGAGATGCGAGGGGGATGCCCAACCCGCAGCCTGCCCACCTCCTCCACCGGAGTCCACTGGCTCAACAATGGCTGGCCACAGCTAAGCCCTGCCCACCTCCTCCACCGGAGTCTGAGCAATGGCTGGCCACAGCCATGCAGCTTCCTCTGTTTTTTTTTTAACTCCAATTATGTCTTTGTAAAAATTTCAAATTCAAGTTTACTTATAATAGTTATTTTGAAATATAAACAGCAGTTTTAAAGAACACAGCCAGGTGTGGTGGCACACACCTCGAATTTTAGCACTGGGAGGCAGTCAGGTGGACCTCTGTGAGTACAGGCCAGAATGATCAGTACAGGGAGTTCCAGGTCAGTCAGGGCTACACAGAGAGACTCAGCCGAAAATTAAAACAACAACTCTAGCTCTAGAAGTGCTATTGGACAATGTAGGAATGTAGTTATGTCAGCAGAAAGTACAAATAGCTGATGGGAACCATTTTTACAGGTACAATTATCCCTCAGGATCCATGGGGCCTAAAATCCACGGATGGTCACCTCCTTTGTGGAAAATCACACGCCCCTGCATGAACCTCACGTAGCTTCCCCATACGTTAAACCCCCTCTGGATCACACATTATACCCAATACGAAGCAAGCCCGATTGAAAAGCCCACTGCACTGTATCTAGGGAACAATGCCGAAAAACCGAAGTCCGTACATGTTCAGGACCTGCTCAGCCTCGATGGATGAAGGTGGAAAGATGGCTGAATCCATGTAGAGTCTGTGGATCTAGCAAGAAAGGAGGGAAGGCGTATGCCGGGCATGCCCAACACCACACGGCACCCGTCGAGAGCTGCTGAGAGAGCTGTAGCCTACCTTATGAAGACTCTGCGCTGACTGGTGACTTCTCCAGTGCTGAGGTGGCCCTGTGGTAGAAGGGAGTCTCCATAGAGCTGGGGTGTCAGTTCCAGGACTCAACAGTTCCAGGGCTCACAGCTCTCGGGGGCTCACAGCTCTCGGGGGCCCGCAGCTCTCGGGGGCCCACAGGAGGGCTGGCCACCCCAGCAGCTGAGATTCAGACTTACCAACTGATGACTACTATTTTGATTCTGAAGTAAGTCAAACTTCCAAACTCCTAGATGTCAGGGATTTGATACTTCTGGTTTTGTCCTGCTGGCTTTGTCCTCAGTAAGGGGCAAGTGCCTTGAGCAGATGAGCGTGGGCGAGCAGTGTGGGAGCCACAGAGGCTCTGTTTACTGCTGGGAAGCTGCCTTGGTCGGGGACGCATTTCCTTTTATCCTCTTTGCTCTCCCCTAATTTTAACTTAAAACTCTATATGCTTTGTTTGAGACAGGGACTTGCTGTGTAGCCCAGGCTAGCCTAGAACTTGTGACCTTTCTGCCTCAACCTCCTGAGTGCTGGAGTTTTAGACAAGCACCACTCATCCAGCCTTAACCTGAAGCTCCACCAGCTGAGAGCAGCTTGGCTCATTTCCTAAGCCCCGTTTTCTTCCCCATCGCTGATGGTCCTTCCCTGTTGCTAGTGGGTCCCTTTTGTTGCCCGCTCTCTACTCTGTCTTCAGGGTCTCTCTTCTTGGAGCTTGACTGATAGCTCCAAACTGCCTTTGGTGCATGGTCCACCTTATACTTTTGACATCAACTACACATTCTCTGGGCTGACTTACTCTCATATGTCAAATAAAATCAGATATTATTTTTTAACCTACAAAAGCTGCAATCACATACTGTTTAATCTTCTAATCCCAATACAAATTCTCTGTTCCTACTGTCTGAGACAGCCCCTTATGCTGTGTAGACGGATCCTGACAAGTCTTAAGTTGCGGTGATAGTCAATAAACTTCCATCTGACTCTGATGGTGTTCCTAACGCACTAATCCACCCAGGGGGTGGGGGGATACACAGAATATCTCTGCAGAGATGCTACTACAGCCTAAAACACAAACTCAAAGGCATTGATTTATAGATATTAGAGGACTCGTAGATTCCACATTTCAAAAAATGCACACAATTTTCATTGGCAAACTCTGTATTCATCAGATTTTATATTTATTTCATAATTAGCTAACTCATAAAAGAACATTAGAATATTACTCTTTTATCTAGTTTTTGCATACTAATCTTCCCCTCTCTATTTTGCTCTTAATTCCATACATAATTATGTTAATTACTATGGTATATCTGAAGCTGTTTAAGGAAAAATATTGTGGAAAAAATTACACATCTGTAAAGCTAAGAGATTTATACTTGGTGTCAGTGCAGGACTATTGATTTCCAAAATAAAAATATTCAAGTTGGTGTGGCGTGATGATTACTGGGCAGAATTCAATTTTATTTATTTTTATTTATGTGTGTGTAGGAGTGCCACATGTGTGTGAGTAGGCCAGAAGAGGGTGTTGGATTCCCTGGAGCTAGAGTTACAGCTGGTTGTGAGCTACCATGTGGGTTAAGGGAATTTAGCCCTCTGCAAAAGTAGCAAGTCTCTTAACCACTGACCCATCTCTCCAGGGTCCAGTCTTCTAATAGTGAAACAGAGGCATATAGTGGAGGGACTTAGGCCAGGGAAGCCCAGTACTTTGTGGTCATCGTGTCAGCAGACTAAGGAGTAAGTGAGGATGTGGATCAGAATTTTACAACCTCTTTTCCGATCTCTGGATAGGTCAAAGAAGCCATGTTTTCCTGAGCCATACTTGGTGCCAAATGTATTCCTATAATTTAGAACAAGCTTTTTATTCCTGCAATACCAGAACATACAAAGGGCTTCACAGAGCCAGATACACATCTATCTTAGAGGAAAAATAGAAGAAACTTCTTATTAGTTGATTTGAACCTGCCCACCTGCCACCTGTCTCTTAAGCAAACTGTATAGTTTTGGTTCCTACACCAGTTTAACCCTGAGAGTTCCGGAGTGCTGAAGTTAGACTGATCAACACAGGAAACCTCAATGTCAAAGAAAGGGAGAAATCGAGAAATATCTGGATGGTGGAAGCCGTCTCCCACGCCCACACGCTGACACCGTAAAGATGAGACTGCTTCAGAGACCTTCTTCCGTTAGGGTGCTCCAGACATAGTCACCTGCGGCTTTCTTCATCTTGCCTTTTCTCAGAAAATTAAAATAGTCTTTCTGCTGGAAAATAGAGAGGTAGAAATGTAAACTAGAGGGAGAAATTTCCATAATAACAAGAAAAAGCTCAAGGAGTTTGAAATACTATCAAAAGCAAGGGTTACTTTAAAAGGTACCTTTATCCTGCACTGGGGGAAGTGCCCTTCTGGAGAGACTGAGGACAGCGCCCCCTGCTGGCTTGCTCCGGAAGCTTCTAGGCTCCGGGGCTCCATCCAGGCTACATTAACTCCTGCCTGCATTGTTCCTATACTTTCAGAGCCCTGTGAATTTCAATTCTTCAGTTCATTTTCTTGTGCACAGAAACACAAACTTTTTAAAGTATCGTGTAGAACATTTTAAGAACGTATTTGCCTTCAGCACTTACTGAGCTCTCAAAGCGTTATTTTCTGAGTCAGCGTCTCGCACTGGGATCCCCGAGGGTCTGACTCCCAGGGCTGGATCACGTGTACACATTACCACTCCTAGCCTTGACACTGGCCTCATATTTGCACAGCAAGTGCTTGCGGGCTGAGCTAACACCTCAGCTCCAACTAAACCAGACTCTGGGGTGGAACCGGCCATCACTGGTTTTTAGAATTCTCCAGAAGAGTGACTCTGATGTACAGCCAAGGCTGAGATCCTAGATGCTGGCTATCAGCAAGCTGTGGAAACGCATGAACTTAAACGCTGGGCTAGTAGTCACCTACAGTTTGCAGATAAAGAAACTAAAACTTGTGCTGAGTCTCACTAGGCCACTTGTGATAAAGCTGACTGTCAAGGCTCTCACCCGGTCCTGCTACACCTGTCCTTATGGTGAACTCCAAGAGTCAGCCTTGTAGGTCACACCCCAGGATTACCTGGCACACACTTAGGGTTTGAATCTGTCTGAACACAGGGCAGAAGTGACAGGTTAATCAGCCAGAGGGCTATTATGAAAGAGAAAAGTTTGTGTATAAAGTTTTTTTTTACATTGAAATTTCTTTATTTTTGGTGTATGTGTGCACGCAGGCCATCAGGGGACAACTTTGGGGAGTCAGTTCTCTGCTTCCACCTCATTTCTGCCTCACTGTGTGCTCCAGGAAAGATGGCCCTCAGGTTTCCCAGCAGTTCTCCTGTCTCTGTCTCTGTCTCTGCCTCATGGTGAATGCTGGGGCCCAGCCTTTTCCCTTGGGGCCAGGGGTCAAACTTGAATTCCTGATGTGAGCGACTAGTGTTTTATTCACTAAGCCATCTTCCTGCCTCTTACAGCTAGCCTGTTTGTTTACTATTGTTATTGTTGTTGTTATTATTAATAATTTCTCTGTGTGCACACACATGTGGAGGTCAAAGATCAGCTTTTGCCCATCAGTTTTCTCCTTCACCTGTGGGACCCAGGCTGAACCCAGGGTGAGAGGATGGAGCAGTCGGCACGCTTAACTGGGACTCTCTCACCACAAGCACTGTGCCGTTTCCTGAGCTCATTTACTGTAGAAAAGCATCTTCTATGTTTACATATTTTAAGAGTCTTTCTATATGAGGCATTTATACACCCACCAGACCCTGTAACAGGTGCTAGGTCAATAGTAGCCACATTAAAATGCTATGTCTAGGGCGTCTTTATCTTATTTGCCTACACTGGAATTTGGACACAGAACAAAGAGTTGGTAGGGTACTTAAGGGAACAGTCCTGGGGGCAGAGGCCCTGCTTTCTTCCACTGTAAATTATGGTTCAACTTTTGTTTGGGCACTCAACCTCTCTGTGTCTAGTTTCCTCAGTGGATTTGAAGCTTGAAAGAGGATGAAAGTATTAACTTAGAGAAAAATGCACACGAGGCTTGGCTGATTCTTAGCAGTGTTCCCTACCAAGAGTCTTTCCTGCACCACCGAGCTAATGTGCAAGAGAACTTACGGACGTAAAAGTGGCTTTCTGCTGCAGGAAACCTGTGAGGCTGAAATGCACAGATAAACCAAAATCTTTTAAACAGAAAAGGTTTTCCATGGGTGCTCGAGATAAAGAAATCACAGAAGAGTTTCGTGTCCCTTGTCCTGAGCCCAGCTGAGACAGCTGCAGAGACAGGCAGTCTGGGCCCACCCCTCATGCACCCCATCTACACAGGGGCTTATAAGAAGCAGGCAGCTATCTAACTTAGTGCCAGTGACTTTGCTTAATGGAGAGTGGGGGAACGTTGTGTGTTATGTTACAGCACATCAGTGATGTCACTTTACTCACAGACCTGGCTGGGTTGGCCCGGCGGCTTTCTACTTCGGCCTTGTTCTGGAACCTCGATCTGCTAAATAGATTAACAAAATGTCAGCGCAGCACAGAAAAGCAAGCACATGAATACTCATTAACTGACATGACTCCCTCTGCACAGTCACGTTACTAATGCTCCTGCAGCCACCAGTAATGCAGAACAGCTGCCTGGCAACCGCACACCTGCCTGGCAACTGCACACCTGCCTCACCTCTGCACACCTGCCTGGCAACCGCACACCTGCCTGGCAACCGCACAGCTGCCTGGCAACCGCACACCTGCCTCCCCTCTGCACACCTGCCTCCC